GTTTAGGTGTATAATAGGTAGCTACTCTTAACTGTATGCACAGTGATAGCTTGTAACTGAAACTAATGCAGAAATACTTGTCCTGTAAGCTTTACCAAAGATAGTCTAATTTTGCCCTTGTCCACTGTGCCAGTTGCTGGATTTTTACTGGTCTGCTCAGTAATGCTTGCTTCTTCCAGTACATGTTGCTTTTTTCTGACTGTCACTAGCTAATTGTCATGTCTCTTTTTTAATATAGAATTTCCAAAATTAATTACTTCAAGATAAGTGGAGAAAACTCTCTGTGACTTCTAGTTGATAGTGCAGAAATGTTACTATTTTACTTTAGGTCACAAGTGAGGTTTTGAAACAAGTCTCTTGATTATTCCTACTTACTGTGCTTTGGTTCACATCACAGAATAATGGGCCATGCTAACTGACATGGGTACAGAGTCAGTGAGCTCCACCCAGCCATGTTCTGCTGTCCAAAAAGAGCGCAGCAGCCCAGACTGCAGCAGGACTGACCAAGACAATAACTGGGTCTCTGTTGGCCCTGAAGAGAGTTCTTGACCCTGCACTTAGGCAGGGCTGTGAGGGGCAAAGCAGGCTCTAATACTCATGCACAATGCCAAGTGTTTGCTCAGTCTGGAGCGAGCTGGGGGCTCATGGACATGTGGCAGGAAAAAAATGGACAGCATTACATCAACCATCTTTCCTTGCTCCCCCCATTGCTTGTTTTAATACTGCATATGTATCCATTCCACTACTCTTGCAGTTGTCCTAGTTAGGACACATCTTGTTCCTTCCTTGGATGCTTGAAGAGAATAAAAATTACATTAGTAATGCCACTGATTCAGTTACTCACTGTCTTTATCTCCAAAATGCTTGATCCTGATGAAAAGCAGTTTCTGAGCATCGTAATCCAAGTCTGCTTGCTTTTCCTGCTGTTTTTTTGCCTGCTTTTCAGCCTGAAGAAGAGAAGGGAATAACAAAACTTAGTATTTTGTTCTCAACATCACTATCCTGTAAAGCTTAGAGAGAGTAAAAGCTTATGGGAGACCTACAGTGGTGTTAGTTGATACTTGGCAAGTATCATCGCTCCCCCTTCTCTCCTCTAATGTACTCCCCACAAAAAGGGTACATTAAACAGATGAGTGAACATCAGCATTAGCTGCTGCTTTTTGGTGGCCTGCCCAGAAGATATGAGAGGACAGCAGTGCATGGTTGAAAAAATGGCATAATGGCACAGGAGGACAGGATGTGGTCTGTCATTGTTGATCTCTTATTAGCAGCCCTGGCAGCTAATAATCCTCCCTGACCAGCAGGGCCAAGTCAGCCTGGAAGAGGCTTCTGTTCTACTGCTCTAAGAGGAGGCTCATAAACCTCTGAAACGTGTGCATCATCGTCAAGTTCTGAGCAGCAGCTTCCTCATTCCACAAACAAGCCCCTTGTGGGCCATGCTATGGATGGATACAGAGTCAGTCATCTCTCCAACAGCAGCAGCTGCAGTGTATGCAGGTAAAAAACAAACAAAACATGCACATCACACCCACAGCAAGCTGCTTCTTTCTCTCCCACCCAAGATCTAGTACTATAGGTTCAGAAGCATGCTTCTTTCTGAAGGGGGTGACAGGGTACAGCTCTTCTATTTACCATTTGCTGGATCTGAATTTTCTGTACTTCCATGTTTGCATGACATTGTTTCTTGGCTTTTTCCATTTCCTGGTAGATGCTGTCTTCTGTCATCCACTGATTACGATCCTTCTCATCCTTTTCTTTTTCCTCTCTCTCCTTTTCCTCTTTCATCTTAATCTGTAGTTTTACAAAACACACACAAAAAGTTAACCAAGGAGGTGTCCTGCTAAGCTGAAAGTCATCTCTCTCAGCAGAAGCAGCCCTGGATCAATGCTCCGAGAAGCACTGTCATTGTGGCTGGCCAGTCTCCAAGCCCAGCGTTTCCAGCAGCCCTGGCAGATGTGCACCCAACATGGAAGTGGGAAAGGGAGAGGGGACCCCAGGAAAGATGTCAGTGGACTTGATGAAGCCTGCTGAGGCATGGCACCAGAGCCAGCTGTGATCTGGGCCAGGCTCCTCAGCTGAAGTAAGCAGCAGTAAGATCAGCCCAGGTTTCTTACCGCACTGGCTCTGTATTCAGCAATAGATTCAATGGCAGCCTTCTGTCTTGCTTCTTTCTCCTAGTTTTTCATTTGGTATTCAGCTTCTACCTCTGCAGCTCCTCTCACAAGGCAATCATCTTCAATCTTAAATGCCTTGTTCATCTGTGCAGATAGTTTTTTCAAAAGCTTTGTCCCTATGCTTCTGCATCAGCCTGCAGAAGAACACTGTTACAGAGCTACTGTAACACACCAGGATACCTGAGGCACTGGTCCTAACAACACTAGCAACCCCACCTCCACTCCCAACAGCACCAATTCCTGCTGGAACTGGTAGGCATTTTTTCTGCACTTTCTCCTTCAAGTTTGAATTACAGAAAAATTGCTTGCATCAAACTTCTGATTCTGCTGATATAACAATTGAGAGTAACATTTTTCACATAATTTAATTGCAAGTTTGAATCCTAACACTGAAAACTGTATCCCTAGACCCACCTGTTAGTCTCTGCATCTTTTTCTCTTGCCAGATCAGCCATCGTTTCTTTAATCCTTAATCCAATCATCATCTTTGTCTTCTTTTTTTTTCTCTTCAGCTTTAATTACTTTCTGTTCAGCTACATATTCCTGTTTAAATGGAAAACTACTTTTATTTTCATGTAGAACAAGATTTTGGAAACATGAACTGAAAAAAAGTTCTAACAAAGACTTCAGGCCTCGTCTATAATGATGAGTTCTTTGTATCAGTGGAGAAGCTATAGATGATAGAAACCCAGAGATGGAAGAGAATTCTCATGACCTACTTATGACAAACTACAACAAAAGCAAAATTAGTCTGTGGTTGCAGCCCCAACCACAGTATCTTTATATTCTTTCCTCTACTTCCCCAGAAGTTCCAACTGTATTATTTCCATCCCATATATCATTCACACAGTGCAGATTCTGAAGAGCTCAAACAGTAAGAGTCCATAGAACCATCGAAATGCAAAGCATTTTGTGATGGCAGTTGTATGGCTTGGCAGTATGTATGGCTTTTATTGCATATACAAGGTTGGGGGAAATGGGATAAAATTTGTATATTTGGGGTGAGGAGTATGGGGGGATAAAAAGCAAGTAGGGTTTTAGCAAGAATTCTCTCCTCTTACTCTCTCACATGTGAATGAATCATCTCAGTACCTCCACTTCAGTCTCCTTGCTCAAGCAGGCACAGGCAGGGAAACAGTAGGCATGGTAAGTAGGACATCACCAATCATAAATGGAAAGACAAGTTTAAAAGATACTGTCATAGTCAGGCTATTCCCTCTTCCTAACAAAGAAAAGTGGGCTTAAAACAGAGCAATTACATGGAACCTAAATCCAGTTCTCAAATCAAGGACAATCTCCTTGCTGTCTCTAGCAGACTTTTTCCATTGTAGACCAGTCAAAGCTCAGGTGCCACATAACAACTTCCAAAAGGCCTTTCTGAAAAGCACAAAAGAGGCAAAGGAGGCATTTGATCCCACACTGTTGAAGGTGCCAGCACAGACCCTGTTGCCTGCAGGCCACCTGATCGGTGGGCTGAGTGCAGCCATCGCAGCCAAGGTGAAACAAGCATTTTGGACTGTCTGCTTTCCTGTTACTTACATGATGCAGCCTCTGCCATTCAACTTTTTCCTCATGTTCCTTTTCTTTTCCTCTCTGAATTTCCAGTTGGTACAATTGGGTCGATCTCTGTATTTGTTCCCCTTGTCTTTTGTTTTCTAGCTTGGCCAGATATGCCTGATCCTTGTGCTCCTTTATTCTAAATTGGAAAAGGGAAGTGAATAAACAAGCTACGGACTGGGTGAAGTAATAATGAACAGATACAGATTCTGCACATCTACAGGTACTTTAACATACTTTGAAGTGAAAGTAGAATGTCAGAGATCAAAACTCGAATCACAGTTTTTATAAGCTAGCTCCAAATTCTTTGGCCAAAGCTCAGTCCTAGTCTGGTGCTGGTCCTAGAGGGTGCTGGTCTATACTAGCAAAAGCAAACACGACCAGAATATGGACTCAAATATTAAACTGAAATTGATTAGCCTGTTTAATTGTTAGCCCGCTCTCTGTACAACCTGGGCCTTTGCCATCTAGCTGTCTTCCAAGCAGTGCCACAGCACTGTGCAAGGCATGGCCATGCTGCCCATGCTAAGGCTTCCGGGCTGGGGGAAGCAGCAATAACAAAGGATTTTGCCCCTTGCTCTCAGTGCCAGAATTTAGAGTCTTGTTTAATTTACTAGGATAGACACAGCCCCTTGACGACAGCAAGAGACGTTTCTGCAGCTGGAGAACAGAGTCACGGAGGAACCAGAGGGTAAGGAGAGGTGACGAGTTTTCAGCCTGACCACGGATCGAGGATGATGTGAAAGCGTTGTTGGAGAGCAGTGAGTCACGCAGCCCTGGGTACGGCACCACTGGGCGCGGCCGGGGCAGCTCCGCCGACCCGGGTTAGCCCAAACAGCTCCCGGGTCCCGCCCGCGCCGGGCTGGCCGCGGGAAGGTTTATAACCCAAACCCGCCCCATTCCCCGGGCCCCGCCGCCGGACTCACTGCACCAGCTGCTCCTGGGCCACGGCCCGGCGGCTCAAGTAGCGGCCGCGCTCCAGCTCTGCCTCCCGGCGGGCGGCGTCCGGCCCATCGAGGTCCATCGTCGGCCCTTCCCCGCCGCCTCTCCGGGAAACTGCCGAGGGAGAACGAGGGATCCTCACCGGTGCCCCGGCTGTCCCGGGGAGTCGGGGCTCCTTCTCCCGCCTCGCACAGAGGCTGCGGCCGCCGCCCTCCCCCGTTCCGGGCGCGCGCAGCCGCAGGCGCTGGAGCAGCGGCGGGCGCTGCGTGACGGCCCTGGAGCGGCACCGCCCCCGCCCAGCCCCGCCCCGGGAGCTGCGGGCGGGCACCGTCCGCTCTGTCGGGAAGAGAGGGAGGGAGGAAGGAAGCAAGGCGGACCTGCTGGCAGGACTCTCTTCCGCAGCCGGCTCGTGAGCTGCTCGTTTGCCCTCGGTAAGAGGCTGAAACGTCCCCCCCGCCTCTGTCCCTGTGCTCCGGCCGCGGCGGCCCCGCTCCCCGCCGGGCCTGCGGCGATGGGGCCCGGCCGGGCTCCGGGCGCTGCCGCGTCTCGCACCACCTTCACCCTGCCAGGCCTGCCTGTAGCTCGGGCTGGGGGCCCTTGATGGCCCTGGGAGCTGGGTGAGGAGGTCGGCCCTCCCTCTCCTTCCAGAAGTTCTTCCCTTGCCCTGCCTGGAAGAGACTCCTCGAGGAGGTGACTGCTGCACCCGGGGATTTTTACACTATAGGGGAGGTAAAACCAGTTCTGCTTGGTCCTCAGCTTGCAGGAGGGACCTCGCCTCCAGGGTGTCCCCGCATCTTTCCCGAAGTGTCCTGCTTTCTGCAGGGCCTGTTGCTTTAGGAAGCCAGACTCTGAAATTCGAGGACACACAAAAGACCTATTTTCCAAACTAAAATACTGGCGAGCGTCCTTTGTATAAAACTCTTCTAATTTAGGCTTAGGGTTTTTTTTAAGATTTGCATAATTTTCTAGTCTGGCCAACAGAGACTCGCGGCTGCAGGGCTGGAACACAAGGTTGTGTGCAACACAGCAAAGCTTCAAGTTTCTTGGACTTTGTTTCCAGCGGAAACCAGGATAGGGTTTAAAGCCTAGTGTACTTGTGGAGGAAGTCATTACTGGAAAGCCTAACTGTCCAAGGCAAGAAAATGATGTTAACAGTTCAGCAAAGAAACTAAGCTTAATGAGGGGGATGTGTCAGTGTTAGAGAGAAATCTGTTGAGGAATCTGAGAAACAAATTTACATTGGATCTATTTACTGTAGATTGAATCACTGTTAGGCTTTTTGAAAGACTAGCCCAACTATGTCGTCTCCTGTTTACATGCTCTTTTTGTAGTTGCTATTTACAGCTATATTGAGATCTGTTTGCCTCCTATGTGACCTTTTAAGGGCTGTGAACAAATCACATTAATATTTTCATGTAATAAAACTAATTTATAGCATGACATTTGTTTTATAGAGGTAGTTGCAAAATACTACAAAACCTGCATACCATAGCTATTCTAACTTTCACGTATGTTCTCTTTTTTCTTCCCCTGTAGTTGTTTTGGTTTGGTCTTTTCTATTATGGGGAATTCTTAACTGGAAGTAGGCTGGAGAAAAATGTGACCTTTTACACTAGGAATTCGTATCGCAGACCTGAAAAACCTGGGACACTGAATTTTTAGAACAATTAATATTAAAAATATAGCAGTAATAGTGAGCTTTTGACTGGAATGTGTTACAATGACAGTTAATTACATAACATGCATTCTTGTCTCAAGTTAGTAAACTAACATTCATGAAATATAAGCTGGGGATTTTTGAGAATATAGCCAGTTATATGGCAGGTTTTGGGGTTTTTTTCCAAATGGACTTAGAGATTCATAGTTGAATTTGATATAAATCATTTACAGTTTAACTCTGCCTGTACAGTACAAAAAGGTATTTTTTTAACTTGAAAACGGCTTCTGCCTTTCCTTGCTGGATAGTTTAAATGTTATTTCATGTTTTTAACTTCTCAAGTGATATTACAGCTACAACAAGATAACAGGGTCCCAGCAACGTCATATGCTTGGAAAGTAGTATTTATTTCTTCTCTTCTCAGAAAAATGGCCCATGTCCCAGTCCTTTTCCATCTTTGCATGCTTTGAGAAGAGGATAAAGATGATGTGTAGTCTTGGACTCTGATTCAATTACTTGCTTTGCATAGCTCTGAAATTCACGCTCTTTACCACGTGCAATAGCTTCTTTCTCAGCTTCATAGTCCAAGTCTGCTTGTTTTTCCTGCTGTCGTTTTACCTGCTTTTCAGCCTGATGAAGAAAAGGGAATAATAAAGCTTAGTATTTTGTTTTCAACATCACTCTCTTGTAAAGCATAGGGAGGGTAAAAGCTTACAGGAAATCTGTGGCACTGTTAATTGATACTTGGCACTTGTCATCCCTCCCCACTTCTCTCCCCTGCCATATGCCCCCAGAAGGGTACATTAAACAGATGAGTGAACATCAGCATTAGCTGCTGCTCTTTGATGACCTGCCCAGAAGATACAGGAGAGTAGCAGTAGAACATCATGGCACAGAACAGGATGTGATCTGTCATTGCAAACCAGCCTTGACTTGCACCAATGCTCTGAGGAGGCTGCTCTCCAACACCAGCATATGCAGAGCACACATGATTTAAAGAAAAACAACACCCAACAAACGAAAAAACCCAAAATACCCAGCAAGCTTCATTTCTTCCTCTCAGCATGAACTAATGCTGTTGGTTTAGATAAGTGTTTCTTTCTGAAAAGGTTGACAGGGTACAGTTCTCTACTTACTATTTGCTGGATCTGAATTTTCTGTACTTCCATGTTTGTGCCATGTCGTCCTTCTTTCTTGGCTTTTTCCATTTCATGGTAGATGCGGGCATTTTCCATTAACACATCACGTTCTTTTTCAGCCTCTTCTTTTTCCTGTCTCTCCTTTTCCTCTTTCATCTTAATCTGTAGTTTACAAGACACACACAAAAAGTTAACCAAGGAGGTGTCCTGCTAAGCTGAAAGTCATCTCTCTCAGCAGAAGCAGCCCTGGATCAACGCTCCGAGAAGCACTGTCATTGTGGCTGGCCAGTCTCCAAGCCCAGCGTTTTCAGCAGCCCTGGCAGATGTGCACCCAACATGGAAGTGGGAAAGGGAGAGGGGACCCCAGGAAAGATGTCAGTGGACTTGATGAAGCCTGCTGAGGCATGGCACCAGAGCCAGCTGTGATCTGGGCCAGGCTCCTCGGCTGAAGTAAGCAGCAGTAAGATCAGCCCAGGTTTCTTACCGCACTGGCTCTGTATTCAGCAATAGATTCAATGGCAGCCTTCTGTCTTGCTTCTTTCTCTTTGCGTTTATTTTCTTCTGCAGCTTCTATTTTTGCAACATCTCTAGCAAGTCGATCGTCTTCCATCTTTAATGCCTCACTCAGTTGTTTAGCTAATTGATTAACGATTTTGTCCTGTTGTTCCTGTGTTTTTCTGCAGAAGAACATGAGCTGCTATAACATACTAGGGTAACACACCTGGGTCTACCTGAAGCTACCAAACTGAGCAATCCTGTTTCTAGTCTTCTCTTCTCTTGCCACAGAGGCTGGCCCACCCACCCAACTCAATGATCTCCTTGCGTTCCTCCTGTTTGTTTTTTTTAATATTATCTTGTTTAGCAAATAAATGTTCCCTGTATTCATGTAACACCAGCTTTCTGTTGCAGTAATGAGCTCAGTGAGGAGTCCACCTAGCACCTTGCCATCATAAGAGAAATTTTGGGAGTATTAGACAAAAGCAGGAAGAGAAGGAAACTCTTAGATTGACTCAGTGGTATCATCATGTTGTACCTTCAATGTTAAATTGATAAACCATCTCCCCTTAATAAGAACTCAATGTAACCGATTAATTTATGTGCTTAGTTAAGAAGTCAAATAATTTTTCTTGATCTGACTCAGAGAAATTTAGCTTATACTCAAAAATATTTTCGTCAAGGATCTTAATTGTCTTTAATTGTTGAGGAGGTTGGAGGCTTGGCAGGACACAGGAAAACCACTGTTCCCAATACACTGGTGTAAAGCTCTATACTTCCATAAGCCTTTGTGCTTTGAAGGGGGGAGAGATTGCTGCCTAGCACACTTAGTACTAAGGAACCTGTGAAAGAATTTCCTTATTCTCCTGAATTCCATACTCTCTCTATCAGTAAATTGTTGATTGTGTTACATCATTGGTCTGAAAACTCTGACTACAGTATAATTTTTAGTTTATTTACAGTTTATCCTCTAGCTTTGTACCCACCTACGCATTTCAGCTTCTTTCATTTTTCTCATCCGAGCAATAGTTTGCTTTGCTTTAAAATGAGCTTTGATCCGATCATCTTCTTCCATTTGTTTTTGTTCCTCTATTGCTTTGATTATTTTCTGGTCAGCTATGTATTCCTGTATGGTCAAAACAGTCCCTGATATAACACATAAAGTTTAGAATATCTGGGCCTAGGGTAGCAACTTAACAAGGATCACTCCCTGTTCCGTCTTCTCATGTTTCTTTCCAAGGGAGAAGAGAGGAGAGACTTTTCAGGACTTCCACTTACTCCCTATTCAAACATGCATGAAGAGGAGACAGCAGATGTGAGGAAGTGGAAGGGGAATTGAGCATCAAACACGTGCTGTGCAATACAGAGAGCATTATCCCATGCTCCCATTCACAGACATGGGAGAGTGGGACAGTGGGAAGCATGGGACTGTCCAACCCCCACCAACAGCCACACAGACCATACTGCTCCTGGCCCATCTCTTCCAAAACTATCCCAGTCTTAAGAGCTTAATCCAAAACATAGCTGAAAAGGAGTTTTCTATACTTTTATGTAAAAAAACAACTGTCTTTTGCATTCTGGTCAAAACCATTCTAAGGCACTTCCTATTTTGTACTTAGCAAGATGCTGTTTAAGATGAAATGAAAAGGCAGCAGGTCTTGACTAAATTTCTAAACATCTCCAATCATAAGCAGAAAGTCAAATTAAAAAGATATGTTCAATCTCAGGCTATTCCCTCTTTCTAACAAAGAAAAATGGGCATAAAACAGCAGGAATGTGAATCTTAAATCCAGTTCTCAAATCAAGAAGAATATTTCTTCATATCTACAGCCGAATCCTTAATCATAGACAAATCAAAACATCGTGCCAACAAGGTGCCAACGTCCCTTCAGACAAAGAAGAGAAAAGCCTCCAAGAGGCTTTTCTCAAAAGCACAGAGTAAAGACATGGCCTGCAACTGGCAGGGGAGGCATTTGATCCCCTGCTACTGAAGCTGTCAGCAAACTGTTGCCAGTGGGCCCATTTATTTGTGGGCTGAGTGCAACCATTACAGCCAAGGTGAAACAAGCATTTTGAACTGTCTGCTTTCCTGTTACTTACATGATACAGCCTCCGGCGTTCAGCTCTTTCCTCCTGTTCCTTTTCCTTTCTTCTCTGAATTTCCAGTTGGTGCAGTTGATTCAATCTCTCTATTTCTTCTGCTTCTCTTTTGATTTCTATCTTGGCCAGATCTGCCTGATGCTCGTGCTCCTTTATTCTGAATTGGAAAAAGGTGAATAAATGGGCTAGGAACTGCATGAAGTAATGAACAGATATATATTCTGCATAACCATAGGTACCTTGCACTGAAGAATGTGATACTTTGAGTTGAAGATAGGTAGAATGTCAGAGGTGAAAAACAGCATGATTGTCTGTAATGGTAGCCCTCAGTCCTCTAGCCAGAAATGAGCTACATGGTATACTCACAGTTTGCAGTCTCATGGTAACAAGTTTTAGGTGGATGACTCATTAAAACCATTGCATTCATGGTGTAGCTCTGCAACATCCTCAGAGAACAAGATTTCCCCAGTGAGACCCACCATACCTGTGCTTCTCCTTCTGGGCATGCAGACAGCAGCTTAAGCTGGTAGTGTTTTATGTATTTATATGTTGGGCCTGGAATGTGTGAGACCAGACTTTGAACCCTTCCCCTGCCTTGGGAAATTTGATTCCTTCTTTCAGAGCACCAGGGTCAGTCATATAAATACCACTGGGGACCCCTCCATAAGATTTCTGGAAGAGCTGAGAGCAAGAATAAGAAGTGACAGTAATGTGTTCTCTTGATGGGCAGTCTGGAAACTAGTTATGAGCAAATGGAAATTCTGGTTTAACCTTTTCCTTCTCTGGAACCAAAATTGAGTTAAACACAGTTAAATTTAAGTAACAGCATTAGAACAGTGATTTGAGTAAAACCTATTGATGCCTGCCAGAGATGATTTTACATGCAGACTGCTGGCAACTAAAAATGTATATTACAGCTTTTCTCTTTTGGGCAAGATTTTCTGTGGCAGTTTGAATTTTTCTTTTAAAGTGTGGCATTTGTGAATCAAATTATTAGTAGGTTTCTGTAAAAACCTTTTAGAATAAATTTGTGATAAAAGTTTAAGTAAAGAATAAAGTAGGGTTGCTCTTAATTATTACTTACTGTTCCAGCTGATCTTTGCGTAGTGCTTGCTCCTTCATATAATGCTGCTGTTCCTTTTCTTGCTCTCTGAGAATGTATTCTTTAAATTGACGTTCCTCTTCTTCACGTTCCTTCTTTTTGTTAACAACTGACTTCAACTTTTGAAATTCAACTTGAGCATCTCTTTCTTTTAGGACCTCAGTAAGTAGAAGTGCACTCTGCAAGAGAACATTTAAAGTAATTTGTGTGTTCAGAAGTCTTTAAAGACATTCAGTACAATTTGAATTTAAAAATTGTAAGTTGTCAACAAACGTGGAACTGTTTCATTCTGTCGTTCTGATAGGATAGGTAGGTTTTTGCATGATCGATAATCTCCTTCCGTTTTGCTGCTCGGAACTTTGCTTCTTCCAAATCGAGTAACTTTCTTTCTTCCTCTTCCCTTTCTTCACGTAATTTTTTGGCTTTAAGTTTCTCTTGTGCTAGGCTCTGTAGTGCAGACAAAATCAGAAATCACATTTGAATTTTGGGTAGTGGGGTTTTTTTTGTTTAATTTTGCATTTTAGCTTTAATTAAAAAAAATAAATGTTTATGTTAGATAGTAAACATATTTAAATGGAGTTTAGTTAATATACATATTCAAAAGTAAATGCTAAACAAAGAGAGTACAGCTAGAAATGTTACTATGAGTGTTTTGGTATATATGAAAATGACTACTCTTGTTTACAAATGTATCTTGTACTTACCACAGTGGCATTGGGCGGGTCTTTTACAGCAGCTTTGGAGCCTAAGTGAATTTCTTCCTGTTCTTTCTTCTCATCAAGGATGTGTGCTGCTTCTTTAGTGCTGTTCTGAATCCTTTCCCATTCTGTTTTTGGCAATACAATTACCTGACGAAGATCTGCTTCATTTGGAAGGAAATACCCATCTGGAACGTTATTTTCTTCCAAATGATGTGGTGCTGTGCAGAGGGAAGAAAAAATACTGAGGTTACTTGATATCAGAAAATCCAATATTCAAATGTGTATCAGGATTTGAATTCTCACATAGTAACAATACTAAGTTATGCTTAGTATTGGTTACTCTCTTCATCCCCATACCCCAAAGCTAAGACAGGGTACCTGTATCTGTAGTCTAACTATGGCCAGTGCATGTACTTGGACTGTGGCACTGACTGACTGATCTGTTTGTATGTCACTTTGCCTGTCTGTGTGTATGTACAGGTTTGGCTTGTAGCAACTCGCATTTTTCAGGCAGTACTTGGGCATGATTCTGAGAACAGCAGGGACGAGGTACCATTCCCAAAAGGAAAGGGAAAATATTGGTAAAGCCATTCCACTGGCTGGATGAGGCAGCAGTTTGAGCCCAGGCTGTGCCTTACTACTCTTGTCCTGCACACTCATTGTATTTACTGAAATAGATCAGTTATAGAACATTTTCTTGATTTGTTGGCAAGACTAGCATTTCTTCATTGCATTAGGCTCACATACACATGTGCATACATAAAAGCAGATTTTCTAGATGATCGCTAGGTTTTGTGAAACGCTCTTTCAAGTGTCACCACCATTTTTGGAGGCAATGGCACACTGCATGGAGTGGCGTCCTGTAGAAATTCTCTGTTTGTCTGATTTGCTGCAGACTGACACGCTGTGTCCGAGGTGTAAGGAGGCTTTCTCTTACACTGACACCGATGTCAAAGGCTATTTCCCAGATGCCGTGTTGCTAATCTGTTTGTCTCATGATAGGGCGTGATCCTCTCTCCCTGTCCCAGGTGAAGGCAGCCTTGCCAAAAGTAAAGTAAAGGTGCACTGAGGTGGCACCTCGTTCTTCCCCAACTGCTGCCATGGGAGTTCACGGGACCTGCGCTGGGTTCAGCCAGTTCTTGGGCCGAAAGTGACCCGTCCTGCTGTCTGCAGCAGGGGGAGCTTTGGGGACAGTCACGCTGGGCACCCCCACAGCCTCCCGGGGCCGTGCGCTGCCCCTCCGCCGGTCCCGGTGCCCGCGTGGGAGCCGCACTCACGGGCGCGCCGCCGCCGCCGCCGCCCCGCCGCCATCGCCCCGGGCCGCGCCGCCATGTTCCGAGACGCGGGGCCGTTGCCGGGCGACCCGGCGGCGCGCGGTGACGTAGCGCGTGGGCGGAGCGGGGGCCGCGCGGGTGGGGTGGGGCGGGGCGGGGCGGGCCGGGCGGGCGGTGTCGGCCCCGGTGTCGGTCCCGGTGTCGGTCCCGGTGTCGGCTCCGCTGCCTCTTATCCGCGGGTTCCCGTCCCTTCCCCGCATGGCGCTGCTCCTTCACCGCGGGTCCCTGCCCTTTCCCCGCACGGGGCTGCCCCCCTCGCCCAGCCCTTTGGGCGCCCGCCGTGCCCCCGCCGGCGAAGCTGCGCTGCTTTAGCCCTCGGCGGCGGCTGGGAGGGGGCGGCCCGAGTCCTGCGCGGGGCACGGGCTGCGCGGCGGGCCCGGGGACCTGCCCGTGAGGGGCAGCAGATTCAGCTTCACAAAGGGCTGCGTTTCTTTTCGTGGGCTGCTTTGATTTGGCGCGTCCTCGTTGAAGGCACTGGTTCCAGGTGCTGAGTACACGTTTCCTTTTGAAATCCCTCTTGAGGCGTTTTGCCAGGAGAATCCCGGTTGGCAAATGCTGATAGAGAAATTTAGAACCTGTGGTCGAACTGGTGGTGCGTGAGTACGGGAAGATTGACTCTGTGTTAGCAAGTATTATTAACTGTAGCACCAGTTCAGATCCTGTCACAGTAGCTATTTTAAACAGAAGTTGGACACTGAACTTTGACCTTTACAGACTGCATTTTTAGCTTCAGCACAACTTCCCATAGCTGTAGTGGCCATAAATAGTTTACTTTGTTTAGATATTTTCCTGCTGAATTTTTCTCATCTGAGCACAAGATCAGGTTAGGAATACAGTACTTGTGTTTATATAAATAATTTTCTTTTTTGTTTGTTTTGGAAACTTGTTTTCTCACAGCTATGAAATTGCTGTTGGTTTTTGATTTTGACCATACAATCATAGATGAAAATAGTGATACCTGGATTGTGAAATGTGCTCCAGAGAGAAAACTTCCTAATGGATTAAGAAACTCCTACCAACCAGGACACTGGACAGAATATATGGGCAGAGTCTTTGCCTACTTGGGAGACAATGGTGTCAAAGAAGATGAAATGAAAAGAACTATGACAACAATTCCTTTCACTGCGGGAATGGTAGATCTTCTGGGGTTTATTGGCGAGAACAAAGAGTTGTTTGATTGCATTATTGTTTCAGATTCTAATACAGTATTTATTGACTGGATTTTGAAAGCTGCTGACTTCCATGAGGTTTTTGATGAAGTGTTTACAAACCCTGCAGCATTCAGCAGTACTGGCTATCTTACTGTACAGAACTTCCATGCTCACCATTGTGCAAAGTGCCCAAAAAACCTTTGCAAAAGGAAAGTTTTAAAAGAATTTCTAGATAAACAGTTGGAGCGAGGAGTTAGTTATACACAAATTATGTATATTGGTGATGGTGGGAATGACTTATGTCCAGTAATGTTTTTGAAGAAGAATGATATTGCTATGCCCAGGCAGGGGTATACCTTGGAGAAAAAGATTTCTCAACTGGCTCAAGATCTCAGTCCTGTACAGTGTTCTGTTCTGGTTTGGTCATCTGCTACTGACATTATGTCTTACCTGAAACTCCTTATAAAGGAATAATTCAAATGATAAAAGTAAACTGATATATTAACTTCCTGGGAGAGAAAAACTGCATGTATATAGAAGCACAAAATTGGAAATTTGGGCTAATATCTGAATTGACTTTTTTTAAACACAGTATAAAGCTGTTTATGTTCAATCTTGGCAATATTAGGAAAGTGAAGTAAAAAAGGCCTTCTAACATAGTACATATTCCAACCTAAGTGGAGGAGGGGGATTTTGAGAGGACTTGTCATTATTCTTAATCTACTCTCTCCCCACCAAGCCTTTACCAACTATATAACTGACCTTTGCTGTCCCACACACTTGGGGGAAGGAGTAGGATTAGTGCAAAAAAGAATGACATTCTTTACTTAAAAAACATTAGGTGACAGAAGCATGGTTCTAGAACTGTTAGCTTTTATACTTCTTTGATCTGATTATAAATTATTTGGTATGCTTGTGATCTTGTTTCATCTGAAGATGCATCTATATTTTCAATCTACTAAATATTTTACCAGACAAAATGATTTTTAATAGTTTGTATTATCTTGTATTGTAAAGACAATAAAAGTTGCTGTCACTGACATGTGCAGTTTATGTCATGTATTCTGCTGGTCTGTGTGTCGTCAGGCACCTGTTCTTGTGAGGGCCTGGAGAGAGCGAGCACAAGTGTAGGTGTCAGCCTTTGGCTAACACCTTCATTTATTTTGCCAGTCAGGCCCTTTCTCTTCTGGCAGGCAGGAAGGATGTTGCTGTTCTGTTTAAAGAAAAGTCTCTCTCCCATTCCAGCTACTGCCCCAGCGGTGGCTGCTGCCACTCTGTGTAGAGCTAACATGGGTTTGACCATCCATGCCGACAGCTCCGAGTCAGCTGGGTGCCTTTTCCTTGCCTGGTTTCTGCTGCAATGCACAGGCCCACAGAATGGTGTGTATATATACATGTTTACACTGATTTTACTTATTCACTCTCATCCATATCTATAGTACAATCCTCTCTTACAGGGTGGAAGGAAACATCTATGTCCATTTTAACTTTTAAACAGAATTGTTCTGTCTTTAAATAGTTTAAGGAATCATTTGTGAACATTCAGTGTCTTCACCACTGACAGTGTGATGAGTCTCAAGAGTTTGGCTATGCTTATAAAGATATTAAAAATAAGTCTCATTAAAATTAAATAATGTATTTCCATGCCAAATGTTTTTCTTCTTGTAGTCCCACAAAAGGTTCAGAAGGATGATGTCATCTGCTATTAAACTGAAGTTGGTTTTAGCTTAAGTGCTTTAATAGCTGATAAATTAGTCCAGTTTCACAGCATCTCAGTTGCTGATGTCTGAGGTGTAACTCAACAGCCTGCAGTTGCCATATTTGTCTTCTTTTGTTTTCTGTGCAGCATTGTTCTCATTTTCTTACAGACACTAGATGTTGTCACTACCTTCTTTTTTATTAATTGAAGATTTTTAGGAGTGGTCTTGCCTATTTTCAGGCTGATAGTGTATATAAATAAAGATTTCTGTTGCATAGTTCCTTCCTTGCTTCACCTATTTTAATGAATTGTAGAAGGCTTCTTTGAACAATCTGTTGTCCAAGATGTCCAGAGTAATATACTTGAGTTCTCAGGAGCTTTGCTTTATTGATGGATATTTGATAGGTATCTGAGATGTTCATATTAGGAATCTTGCCCTATTGTCTTGCAGAGGGGCATGAAGAGAATATCTGATGAACTGGTAAGTCTCAAGTTTTGACAGGTTTAAATTGTCCGATTTACAGGTCACACAAAAGACAGTAATGGCTGTTGCATAGGACACTTTTGTATGTTACTTTGGGTTTTAAGTTGTTGCTGTGGTTTAACCCCAGCTGGCAACTTAAGTATCGCGCAGGAGCTTGCTCACTCCATCCCCCCCCTCTTTGGGGAGGAGAACTGGGGAAAAAATTAAACCTCGTGGTTTGATAAGAACAGTTTAATAATTGAAACAAAATACAATACAGTATTCTGCTACATCTAGTACTAAATTATTATGATAATTGTAATGAAAAGGAGAGATAAAGGAAAGAAGTCCAGGAGAAAAAAGTGATGCCCAATACAGTTGTTCACCACCTGCTGACCAGTGCCCAGCCCACCCCCAAGCAGGGATCGGCCCCTCCCAGCCAACTCCCCCCAGTTTGTGTACTGAGTGTGACATCCTATGCTATGGAATATCCCTTTGGCCACTTCGGGTCAGCTGTCCTGGCCACGTTCCCTGCAGTTCCTTGTGCAGCTCTTCACTGGCAGAGCATGGGAAACTGAAAAGTCCTTGACTTAGGGTAAGCGCCACTTAGCAACATCCAAAACATCAGTGTGTTGTCAGCATGATTCCCATAGTAAACCCAAAACACAGCAGTGAACCAGCTACTAAGAAGAAAATTAACTCTATCCCAGCTGAAAGCAGGACAGTTGTGTGTCTTTAATTCTAGATGTACTACTGAATGTTCCATGTTCTGTGCTGATCTCTTCTGTGATTTTAGAACTTAGTCGTGGTATAGCTTGCTTTCAGCTTGTCCACACATCTCAGATACTGCTTATTTAAAAAACCCAAAAAAGTAGTATGTCAGTAATTACTCAGCTTTTTTTTGCCACTTATATTAATTATTGCTCTTTTGGCCTTAAGGAACCTATCTCATAGTTTGCTGTGAGAGTGAGAAATTGGGTGAGAAATTAATCTTCACACTCAAAAAGGGGTTCTTTTTCTGGTTTTGATGAAAATACTGAAGCAGGAGTTGAGAGCAGATTAAGTAAAATAGACTACTTCAAATATTAGCAATTATGATCTAATTACTTCAAGTAGAGGGTAGAGCTGATGCTGTTTGCTAGACAAAGTGCATGTTGGAGACAGAAGAAATTTTTTAATTCCAGTAGGCAGACCATTAAGCTGTTAACCAAGTCTTTTTTGGGTTTTTCCTTCCCCCTCTTAATAAAAGAGAAGAGAGGACTTTTCTGAAGCATCACAATTACCAAATTTTTCCACATTTGGTTATCATGGAGGGGAGATGAGTATCTCCAAAAGGTGAAGGTGGTTTGAGCTGGTAATCCTGCCAAAAGAGAAAGGGAGAAGCTCCTTGAAGGGGATGTATGTTCAGTACTAAGTGTTGCTGACCTCCAGACTTGCTGACAGTTTAAATCTACGTGCTGTCTGGGAGGGAGATGGCTTGGGTAAAATGTTATGTAAAGAAATGCATAATGGAAGGCATCTGTGTATGGGAAAGTCTGTATGGTGACAGGTCTGCCACCATACACCAGCTACTATGGAGAGTACTTAGTATTGTGTGTTAGTAGGATGGCCAAGACTTGGAAGAAGTTCCTGCTTGTCCATCGGAAGCTGATGAAATGGAAAATGCAAAACCACAGCAAAACAAATCTCTTGAGGTGGGGATGTATAAACAGACTTAGGGCTGTACAAGGGAATGCTCCAGAGAAAGAAATGGGGTAATGTAGCTGAGGAACAGTCTCATGGCAGAGACAGCAGGGCTATTGCTAATTCCTGGGTTACACTGCAAAACTCCAATTCTCTCAGCTAGCGATGCATCAAGAGGGGTTGAAGAAACAGAGGGTAAAGAAGTGTGAAGGTGTACTTTTTGTTTTTGTGGGGGTTTTTTGTTTGTTTGGATGAGTTTATTTTTGTCTCATGTTACTGTATAAAGGGCAGGAGCAAGATTGAGTCCTGTTGCATAGTTAGTACAGGAAGAAGGATGGCAGAGAGGTATGTCCACATACATGTTCCTGATTGGATTTCTTTAGTTCGTGCTTCTGGTGGGCATTGTGGAGGAAGAACCACTAGTAATTGAAAGAAAAAAATGATGCTTTTTCATCTGTGTAGAGCAGGAGCTCTCCTAATTTCTCCTTTTGAGTATTACTGGCACAATAACAAATACCCACCTCCTTTTGGTAGGAGAAACCATTGCCAGTCCCTTCAACCCAGCAGAACCTGGCTGGATCCAAACTCTTCTGCAGATGAGGGAGGACCACAGCTGCTTGAACCCAGAGGATGCTGTGTTTCAAATAAAGGTGTCCATTGCAGAAAACCTTTTGCTAGTGGAGAAGAGAAAGACTTCTTAAATTGTGAACCACATTTTCAGAAGTTGTAAAAGCCAATATAGCTTTCTTCCTGAATGATTTACTTCTAGCTGGAGTCTGTCGGCAAAAATTGTGACTATCCATTGCACCCTGCCAGGTTCGGGTGTATGGGGAGAGCTCTGGCCACCTCCTTTCGACTCCTGCTCTCAGTCAATGGGAGAGCCCCTGGTTCTTGCTGCCCTTCCCAGTGTCGCTCCTGGGAGCGAGAGGCGCCTCCACGAGAGGCGCCTCCACCAGAGGCGGCTTCAGGTCGCTGTCAGCGGCAGCCGAGGCCCCTCGCTTTGTTGTGTGGCTGAGTGACACCGAGCTGGTGACGCTCCCCAGGCATCTGCTCCTGTCCCTAATACGGCCGGGCCGTCTGTCACCAGCGCGGACAGCCTTTAACCCCTGGCCCGGGGTGGGAGCGCTCGGGCGGCGGCGGCAGCGCTTCGGGCCGGACCTTCCCGAGGCGAGCGGGCGGGAGGGGGCCGGGCGGGGCGCCGGGGCCGCGACCTCGCGGAGGGGTGCGGAGGGTGGGTGGGGGCGGCTGGGACACCAAAATAGGAGCTGCTGCTGCTGCGGCCCCGCCGCTCTCGCCGGCAGCTGCTCTTCCAAAGGCCGTCCCGGGGCCGCCGCGGGCTGGGAGCGCCCCTGGTCGCGGCCGCGCTCCGCACGGGCGTAAGCGCCGCGCCGGGCAGGTCGGGCGGGCCGGGCCCGCAGCCGGGTCGGGCGGGCTGCGCTGAGCACCGCGGACAAAGCGCCGGGAGCTGCGGGGCGCGGCGATGGCCGCGGTCGCGCAGGAGGAGTACGCGTACCTATACAAGGACTCCGGGCATCCCGCCGGCTTCCTGGAGGCGTTCCGGGCGTTCTACCTGGACGGGCTGTTCACCGACATCACCCTGCAGTGCGCTTCGGGGGTCATCTTCCACTGCCACAGAGCCGCCCTGGCAGCCTGCAGCAGTTATTTCAAAGCCATGTTCACAGCCGATATGAAAGAGAAATCCAAAAACCAGATCAGTCTTCCCGGGCTCAGCCATGCGGTACTGGAAGCCCTCGTGAATTATGCATACACATCACAGATCCAGATAACAAAGAGAAATGTCCAAAGCCTACTCCAGGCTGCAGACCTGCTCCAGTTCGTGTCAGTAAAGAAAGCCTGTGAGCAGTTTCTGGTGAGGCATTTAGACACCGACAACTGCATAGGGATGCACTCCTTTGCCGAATATCATGATTGCTCAGAACTAGAGAAGGAATCCAGGAGGATATTGTTATGGCAGTTTGAAGAAGTGTGGAAGCAGGAAGAGTTTCTGGACATTGGCAAGGAGAAGCTCTCTTATATTCTTTCGAGAGAGAATCTCAATGTTCGGAAAGAAGAGGCAGCCATTGAAGCTGTTGTTAACTGGGTTGCACACAATGTGGAAGAAAGAATTGAAGACGTCTATGAACTGCTGAACTGCATCAAAGTAGACTTAGATAACATGTATTTGAAGTCAGCTTTAAGCCTACAAAAAAAATGCCGACTCAATGGCCGTAAGATAAGGTCACTCATATACAAGGCCCTCGACCTCAAACCCAAGAGTCTTTCCAGAAGACCCACAGCAGCCATGTACGTGATTGGAGGATATTATTGGCACCCCTTATCAGAAGTGCATGTTTGGGATCCTTTAACCAACGCATGGGTCCAGGGAACAGAGATGCCGGATCACACCAGAGAGAGCTATGGGGTCACTAGCTTGGGACCAGACATATACGTGACAGGAGGTTACAGAACGGAGAGCATTGAAGCCCTTGACACCGTGTGGATATATAACAGTGAGAGGGATGAGTGGACAGAAGGCTGCCCCATGCTCGATGCAAGGTATTACCACTGTGCAGTTTCCTTGAGTGGCTGTGTCTACGCGCTGGGGGGGTATCGAAAGGGAGCTCCTGTGCAAGAAGCTGAGTTCTATGATCCTTTAATACAGAAATGGCTTCCTATTGCAAACATGATCAAAGGTAGGTAAACTTTTTTATGGTATCTGCCTCCAGTGCTGATCCTTTTGTATTTGTCACTTTTAAGTGCCATGGACACATTTAGAGCTTGATCCAAGTTCTAGAGAAGTCAACAGGAATCTCCTGTTAGTTGGTGGGCTCTGGTTCAGGTCTTCACTAGCCAAAAGACTGCAAACATCTAAATGCTATGCTGGGCTGTGCATGGAACACTAGGGTAGAAAAGCAAGTGGTAGTCTTGTATAGTTTTGCCTTCTTTCAGAGTAAGATTTCTGTCAGAATAGAAAGAAATCAGAAAACCACCTGGGATTAGAGTCGATTCAGTAGATGGTCAAAGAGCAAGCTCCAATAAAGGGATTGTATTATTTTAATGGAAGGGCAGATTCCTAAGATTTTCTGAGCAATCACTTATAAAGGTGTCATCATTTAGAACTTCTTGCATGCAGTTTCCTTCTATTTCTGTGTATCATCTGTTCAGGATCCTTAGTTTAATCATTAGTGTGAGGATAATGAAAAGCACTAATACCTGTTTCTAGCAGCCAAAATAGTGATGTATTAAAAAGATATGAATCATAGCCAAACTAAAGGGTATAATTTTGTTATAAAATTTATAAGCAGTTATCAGTTTCATCATACATTTTTATAAATTAATGCAAATATTTACAATTAATTATAATAATTTAGTGTAAGTTGATGCAACACAGTATTTTACTACTTACACAGAGTTTTTGGAGGTATCTGTAATAGGAAAAAAAAACATGTTTCTACAACTTTCTCCACTGTTTGTATATTTTCCTCAAATATTGCTGCTATTCTCTTTTTATTTGCTTCAAAAATAGAAATGTTATGCTAATATTATAAGCAGTTGCATATTCTGTGCAGTTGTTTTGTCCAGTTTTCTGCGTGGAACATCTGATGTGCTCAACTCTCCCCTTGTTTTATTTCATTTTGTTGTTCTAGAGACAGATTTAACAGAGGTTCATTCTGGCTCCATTCTATTTATGTCCTTCTTTATACAATACCATAATTAGTAATACCATGAGAATGACTAAAATTATTAGAAAAGACACTGAACAATCTCAATTCCCATTGTCTTTGTCCTTGCCATATAACTGATTTTTTTAACATCTCTTTAACTTAGTGGAATATTGAACCTAATTCCCTACTCCAAAACCAATGTGACAGTGTGATTTTAATTACTGCCTAAAAATGCTGTGAACTATCATATTATATGCAATATGTATTGTTTACTGCAGTTTTATTTTGTTGTTCTTGACTTACACTGATAAAGTGTCTTGACAAGTCTGTTTTACTCACATTCAGTCTGAACTTTCATACTGTGTACAGGGGTTGGAAATGCCACTGCCTGTGCCCTGCACGAAGCCATCTACGTAACTGGAGGTCACTATGGGTACAGGGGAAGCTGTACCTACGATAAAATCCAGAGATACCATTCAGGTAGCAATGAGTGGAGTATAGTCACCACAAGTCCACATCCAGGTAAATAATAATTTCTGTAAGGAATGTAGAGCTTGATTTGATGACTTGTACCTGGGAGTCCTTCAGCCCAGTTAAGAGTTTTTGGCATATTCCTAATTAAAAAAATGAAATGTCTGTAGGGCACCAAGGGCCATTTCCAGACTCTGAGAGGGAAAGAGAAGACCTTCTTCAAGCATCTGTTGTATAGAAATTGCTCTACAAATACAGAATTAAGGAATGTCCACATTCTATTAAATAATATAACTTTCTATAAAATCTATTCATAGACATTTGGCAAAAATAATTTATATTAATTTTAGAAGGGTTTTCTCTATGTTCTACACCTGGTAACAGTAAGTTTTTTAAGCAATTGTCACTAACTACTGCTGCTCAAGTTTTTATCTTCTGTAATGCCTTCAGCTTTCTTTTACTAAGTGTAGCAGAAACTTGAGGTGTCTCCTAAGCCCAGTGAAGAAACTCAGCCGCCCTCAGTGGTGCCCAGTGTTTGTCATGTAGTTGCACTTTAAGTTAAGGTTATCATGCTGAGTTGTACTGTATTCTTTTCTTTCTGAAGAATACGGATTGTGTTCAATTACATTACAAAACAAGATCTATTTTGTGGGTGGACAGACCACGATCACGGACTGCTATGACCCAGAGCAAAATGAGTGGAAGCAGATGGCTCACATGATGGAGAGAAGGATGGAGTGTGGCACAGTGGTCATGAACGGATGCATCTATGTAACAGGAGGATATTCCTATTCAAAAGGAACGTATCTGCAGAGCATTGAGAAATATGACCCTGAACTGAATAAATGGGAAGCAGTAGGAAGTCTTCCCAGCGCTATGCGGTCCCATGGCTGTGTCTGTGTGTATAATGTGTAAGCATTTAATTTTCATCTTGCTGTTACAGCAACCAGCAGATGCAGTATTCATAAAGTACTGATTACCTCATGACTGAGTTGTCTGATACAATCTCTTAGCGCATATTGTTGAAAATCAGGTATAATTTTTTCTCATTTTAAACAACTCAGAAATATAGACATGGTAACAAGATTTCCATATATTTTTCTGTCCAATCATTTTTCGTCATGAAAGTTCTCAAATGACTATCTTATAATACTTTATGCAGCTACATAGAAACTACTGTGAAAAAGAGATTTGTTTTTGTGGGAAATCACTGTGGGAAACTATGATCTGGTGCTAAGATGACTAAAGCCAAACCAAATACTTTACATTTCTAAGGGCTACTGGGCTTCAGAGGAAATCTTTGTATTCTGAAGGTAGCTATAGAAATGGATCATTGCCCCAGTGGGGAATGAGGGAAGAAATGTCAGGCAGTAGCCTCAGAGCACAAGCCAAAAGTGTGCACTAGTTTTCCAGAAGAGCAGTGCTCTGAAGTACAAGGGCGTTTGAGAAAAGTAGTCTCTTTGCCATTCTTACACTCACTTTGACAGTGCCCATCAGAAATGAAAAACGACTCTGCAAGGCTTTGCAATGGGCTCTTTGGCTGATGCACAGATATTTGTGAGGTTTTTTTTGGTTGGTTGGGCTTTTTCAGAGAAAAGCCTTGACTTGGTAACTCTTTTTTAATATCAAATTCAAGATAGGTGTCTGTGTGGAATGGAAGGATGAAATGAGAGCGATTGGAAAGCTGCTAATGTCCCCCTGCAATACAAACTTCTCTGTTTTGTTTAATACCATTTGATCTTTGCTAAAAGTGCTGAACTGTGACTTGAGCAAAGGTGACAACTGAAGAAACTTGTCAAAATATGTTATTCATGGAGAGATTGAATGCTAAGTGGTCTACAAGATTGATTTATTTATTATTTCTCTCAAAACATAATAGGAGATCTTAAAATTCTGTGTAGAAGGCAGATTTTTGTAAAATGCTTTGTAGACAAATGGATCACACTCTGAGTGGCCTGATAGCAGTGATTCAAATAAAAAAATGCCTTGGGGAGCAGAGAGGCTTTTTTAGCATCGATCAGTTCCTCAATCCAGCTTATAAAATGACTGCAAAAAGAGCTATTAGACATTGGTGAAAGAGGCAGGGGCAACACAGGGTTGCTGAAGGATGTAGTGGGAACTTCCCACACCAGCACTGTCACCTAAAATGAAATTTTGATTTTATTGGATTTATCAGATTCAATGAAAGGAACTTCCCAAGCAAGTAAGCCCTGAGTTTATAGTATTTCTTTTTCTTGATCATAAGCGTTTTCAACATTTTTTTTTGTTCTTTCCCATTTTTATGCTATTTCTGACTTGCATTTGACTGCTGGTAGCAGACAGCACTCAACTCTGAGCTTTGATGTAAAGTTCTGTGGTGTGTATATATATAGTTCTTGTTTTGATGTCTTTGTATGTCACCTGACTATGCAGAAGCTCATGTGTGCATGGGTTCAGTGTTTTGCTTCATTACACATCCCACTGGGAGTTGTTTAAGGATCCAATGTAATTTGTTTAAAGCGGTGTGGGGAATTGAACTCTAATGCTGTTTGAAATGCGCTGGCCAGGCAGGTGGGCAAAAGAAATAACACGAATTTTTTTCTCCTGGAAATCTTCACAGCTGAGAAATTGTTCAAAGACAGGTAGAGCAGTAAAGGACAACATTGCAAAAGCATGAAGGTGATCTTTGTATTGAACAAAACCACAGTGAACTCAACATATGTAATTTTTCAGTGCAAATTATGTACCTGTGAAGCTTCATGTTTGTTGAAAAACATGAGCATAGAACAGCTGCTTATGGCTGGCCTTGAGGTTCATTCTGGCCCATATCCTGTCACCAACACTCATGGGTTGAGGAAAGGATCTAAGAACAAGGTGAGGACTAACAAAACAAAACCCACAGTGTCCACTTGGCCACTGCTTCTAAACTAAGTGCTTAGCATTCCTTCGTGAAAGACAGTACTGTTCCAGGGCAGGAGCACAGGCATTGGAAGCTAGATCTGCTTTGTCCCCGTGGGCACCCTGCAGGTGAGCAATTTGCTGCTTTTTGGCCTCAGTGCTAAGTGGAAAAAAGCCTTTAGTTCTTCCATGCCAGAAGAGCATGTGCTGGTCTGGCACAAACAAAAGTCAATGAGATTACTGCCTAGGATGTCTGGTAAATTCTAATTTTTCAGAGACTTTGAATGCATTAGAATAAATGGAGATCAGAAGAAGTTCAGACTCATGGTTAAATTTCAACTGGTGCTGTTTTTCACAATAACCTACAGTGCTCTTTTAAATTAGCTTATGTCCATAGAATATCCCAAGGTGTGCTGCCATCAGGTCTTGGACACAGGCAGGAATATGAATTTAGGAAGAGGAATAGGGATTCTGCCTTCTGGTCAGTGACCTACGGCAGGTGGGAAGCTCAGAACAAGGAATCTTTTAGCCATCTATATGGTATGTTTTTAATAATAGTTGAATGTAAACACTGAATTATTGTGCTATCAGACCTGTATTTCGGTAGACACAGTTTTATTGTTTTACTTTTAAACTAGAAAATTAACTAATACAGAAATCAAATAACTGGTAAAGCCCGTGTTTGTAGCACCATAGATGTCCACAGTACATCTTCAGTACTTCAGTGAATGTTTGCAGTATTTAATAAATGTAAATATACTACCACTGTACAAATACAAGCTTTTAAGTTACTTTTTCTGTTCAGTGCTCAAAACCAGCACCCCGGCGCGCCCGGACGGGTGGCCCTGGAGGGTGCTGAGGGCTGTTCCCGCGGCCCTGGGCACTGCCCGGCCCTGCCCGCGCCCGCCTCCCCACACGATCGGGCGCCCTCGGCGGGAAGGGCCGCGCGGGCGTGGGCGGGGCCGGAGCAGCGCCTCCCCCGCCCCGGAAGTGGCGCCACGCGCGGGGCGGGCGGGTCGCGGGGGCTGCTGGGCCGCGGCGCCGACTCGCGGCCTCTGGAGCGGCGGAGCGGGACCGGAGTGGGGCTGGACGTGCAGGTTCGTGCGGGGCCTCGCCCCCCCCCAGGCCCGGCCCCGCTGAGGAGCGACGGGCCGTGCCGGGGCAGGGCTGGCGGCGGGCTTGGCGGCCGGGCCGGGCGGGAGGCAGGGCGGTTCCCGGCGTGGGGAGCACGTGCCGCCTGTTCCCCGGCGGAGTTGCGGAGCGGGCCTGGCCGTGCCGGCGGGGCGGGGAAGCCGCCCGGGCCCTCCCCGCCGGCACCGCTACCCGCGGCGCTGCGGGGCTGGGGCGCTGCCAGTGAGGCGGCGCCGGCGGCCCCGCTCCCGCCGCGGGGCCCGGGCCGGGCCGAGGGAAGCGCTCCCGCTGCTGCCGGGCCTGGGAGTCGGAAGGGGGGGCTTAGGCGCTGCGGGCGTGTGAAAGTGTCATCAAGCAAACTGATGGTCTCCTGGCACAGGTTAGGGGCCCATATTTCAATTACTTAATTACTTCTTATAAGAAACTTCTTATAAGAAACTTCTTATAAGAAACTTCTTATAAGAAACTTCTTATAAGAAACTTCTAATTCTGCTCAAAAAAAACAAAAAACAAACCACAAGCCATAGTATCGTCTGTGAAAACGTGTGGTAGCAGTTAACCCTTACCTTAAAAAAAACCCTATATTTTGAGGCAAGAATCCTGTCAGAAGGCTCCAACCTCTGACACAGGGGTTCCTGAACAAGGTATGGTATGAGTAACAGTTCCATGTTACTTTATTGGGGAAACTTTCTTATTTAAAAAAGGCTTTTCACTCTGTTACAGTAATGGTAGAACCAGCCTGCAACTAAGCTTTGTCCAGACCTTGACACTAAATGGCTGGTAAGATGAAAATCCACTTGAGAGTTCTATTAGGATACTCTGGCTAATACAGTGTGGGATCTAACTGTTCTTGTTAAAGGGCCTGACTGTCATTTTTTGCTTGTAATTTAAGTCTAATGACTACTTGCATTACTTTGTTTTCATTTTGTGTGGTACTGATGCAAACTGTTGGCGCACAGAAGGAACAAGTTAGTGTGGTCTGCTAAGAAAGCCCTTACAATAAAATGTTGTAGGATTTTGCATGCAGTTCAGGCTGTGATTGCTGTTCAATGCAGTTTATTATCAGTCTTAACTGCTGCACAGCACCTGAAAACTATTGATCTGGAGGTTGTCTTGTGCCAAACGACTGAGCTAAAAAGTCTGAAGTGAGCATGTACAGACAAGACTAGAATTTCTCTTAAATTAGGCTGCTTCTGCTTTTGTTCTAAATAGGTTAGAGCTTAATCACTGTCTGAACTGAATTCCATGCATGGCAAGCTTGAGTCTTTCTTAGTTTTGCCTACAGTTTGTTGTTACTCACAGCTGCAGGGATGCTTTTTAGAAAAACTTCTCCAGGTGTAAGACTTAATCTAAAGGACCTGTGTCAGGTCTTGTGTTGTTTTATACTTTTTGGTATTGACCTTGAAAATACTGCTAAGGAAGTAGGCTTTGTTTTTTTTCTCTTTTTAGCACTGGAGCTGAGCCTTATGTGAAAATGCTGGTTCTGTGCATTTTGGTACCTGAGCTGAGGCAGGCTGGGATAGTGGTCAATTAGTTGATCTCTTGGAGAAAGCTGTGACTGCTCCATAGGCTGCCATTAAATTGCACCAAATTTGGTATAATGTGAAAAAGAACACTGGTTTCTCTTACAAGTTGGGTGTAGGGGACAACAGCACAGGGGAATGTTAGACAGTACCAGCACCCGAACGTGGTGATGAACTGTCAGTCTCCTGTAGTCAGGGTGGCTCGTGTGAGACATCTCTGAAGTAACTGCATTTGTCAGCTTGGGTACTCTGCCCTGGGATTTGTAAAGTGCTTTACAGACAAATGGATCACACGCTGAACATCGCTGTCAACTAACACTTGCTGAAATCAGGCTTTAAAGAGCATTAAGAGTGTTAGGTACAGGTGGAAGCACAATAGTAGAGACTGGGGTGCATATTTTAAGTCTGTAAGTGCCAAAGAAGTACAAGTAAGTCCAAGGATGCAACAGAGTTTCCAGATCAGGAAGATGAGGAAATGGAAACACTGCAAAATGCAGTAGGGTGAACAGTGACTGAGGAGTTAAACTACTAGAATAAGAAGATGGGGTGCCAGGCGGGTGTTCAGATGAAGAACATAATTTCCCATGACAAGGGCATCTTCACGTTTTATATCCTTATCTTAAGAGCAACTAGACAGACATTTTTGGATCCCAGTTAATTTTCTGGTCAGTAGCTGCTTTCTTAGTGACTGCATCTGATGTACTGGGATTATACCCTTGCTGCCAGTTAAGTGAAGAAGTTGCTTCCAAGGTAAAACATCTTATCTGTTATCAAAGATACTTGATTCAGTATTCAAGCAGAACTCCATTGAAGACAGATTTTTAAAGGAAAGAACTAGACATTTTTAGGATGTATTAATAAATGCAGATATTTTTATTCCTTCCTCCAGTAAGTTCCGTCAACTTTCAAAGATTAGACAAGAGACAAACTTCAGAAATATTTGTCATTATACCTATGTAGGAATTAAACAGTTTTTGTTATTGATGTTTTGCCTAGTGGTGAGAGGTTGGATTTGACTTAAAGAACAAATGTTGTTGGCTCTCAGCTTTGTTGCTGCTCTTAGGCACAAACTGAGAATCTGTGCCTAGAAAAAGGTAAATAAATAAGGCTGTGAAGTGCCAGCTTTTTTTTAAATTTATCTTGAATACAGAATGCCAAATGCTGCCTTAACAACCAAAGTATTTTACTTGTGGTTTTTTTCCCCACTTGTTTCATAGTTTGCCCTTGGAGTTTGCAGTGATGTTTATAGTTGCTTCACAGGCATAAATGTATGGCTAAAGAACTTGACTGTTACCGTGTTTAGATGAGGCTGCAGTGAAATGCAATGTTCTATAATATAGAATATAAGGAATATATAGGAATATAAGTCTGTAGAAAGTACTATTCAGTAAGTGCTTTTGCTCTGTATTCTCTTCAACACAGCTGGTGAAAATGGCTGAAAATGGAAACAGTGAAAACATGTCTATCTTGGAAAGCAAAATCTGTCAGCAAATTGAGGTAAGTTCAATTTATAGTTTGGGATCTGAACTGAGGTGTGGTTTTGGAGGCATTTATTGGCAGGGACTTGGCTAATGGGAAGTTGACTTTATGGTGAGTTAGACTCAAATCTTCAGCTCTTTAAAAAAATGTCTGTCACAGGTCTATGACAGGTATTTAATATTTTAAGGTAGTTGTAATAGTAGTTTAAATTGGAAGTTATACTTGTCTACAGTTGCTTGTAAGACCACACTGCTAGCATTTTAGTTGCTATAGCAAGTGAATGTATCATTAAACAATTTATAACCACATTGCTGGGGTTATTCTATCTATGCAAATAGGAGAAGGTTGAATTTTAATTCTATATGCCTTAATTTTTTGGGGGGAAAATCCTCCTACTCAAGAATCTGTGCCGGTCAAAATATTCACACATTGCATAACTTGCTATTGTGATTTACTGCTTTGTAATTTATTGCTAAAAATTACAACTAAACTTACATGCCTGCTTTGGATTAACTACTCTCTCTAGAGGCTTGGAGGGTTACCCTCCAATAAAAAAAACTGAGCCCATCACTTAACATCTAGAACAAACCTGTTTTTCTGAAGGATAAAAGTATAGCTGCACATGAATGCCCAATACCCTATGAAGCCATTATTTATATATAACAAACAAAACACAGAGACTGAGAAAAGGCAGTTGACAAAACTAGACTTCTGGTAATGTGAATGTGAGGTACACTAGAGGGAGAGGTATTGTTGTAAAACCTGCACTGACTTTTTAAGGCACTATGATATTGGTGGAAACATTTCAACTTATCCTACGGCTTCAAGTATTTGACACTAGTTAGATGACTGCTAGATGGCAGAAGAATCTGATTAGCCCGTCTGCCTTGAACTGAATTGTCTTCCCATGCTGGACAAGATCAAAATAAGGACACAGTAACTAAATAAAATTAAAAATAAAGATTAAATTTAAAATAATAATTTTTTAATCTTTTGGTGTTTTGTTGAATGAGACCTAGAAAGTCCAGTTTATGTATATGATTTTTCAGTGTGAAAATACCATATTCTTGCTTGTACATTCCTTCAATAAGGAGTAAAACCTGAATCTGTTGGTGACAAATTTGACTTTTGACTCTGCAGAGCCTGATCTGGGTGATAGATGCTTATGATGTTAACAGAATAAGCTTCATTCCTTTCCTAAACAAAACTGCAGTCTATCTTTGCCTCATTAGTCTCATTGGATGAAGCACTGGTTTGCTGTGGCATTTGTTTCTGTGGGGAGATTGTGTGTTTGTTTGTTTTTACAGCTTCCATGTTGCAGCTAACTTTTGGCAAAGTATCACATTAAAGCAGGAAGTAATAATTTCAGAATTCTTAATTATTCAGAGTAATTACTTTTGGTATGTCTCAATCGACTGCAGTAAGCTGTCAGATGAAAATGAGCTTTTAAGGCTGAATATTTCAGGACAAATCTCTTTTTCCTCTTCGTCTCCCTTCTTTTCTGCAGTACTATTTTGGCAATCACAATCTACCAAGAGACAAGTTCCTAAAAGAACAGATGAAACTAGATGATGGCTGGATACCTTTAGAAGTAATGATCAAATTCAACAGGTAAAACAAAGTACAACTAATGTGGATAGAAAAGTAGTTTTTAGCTACTTATCTCTGTTTGTAGCCAAGTGTTCCTGGTGTTGTTTTAACACTGTTTTAACATCCGGCTTCAGCTTTGCCTGTGTATTTGTAATAACCTGTGTCTGCTTACTCAATAGGTTAAGTCGCCTTTCAAAAGATTTTAGTGTTATTGTAGAAGCACTAAGAAAATCCAAGACTGGTTTAATGGAAATAAATGAAGACAAAACTAAAATCAGAAGATCTCCAAATAAACCCCTTCCTGAATTAAATGACCAGTATAAGGCTGCAATTAAAAACAGATCTGTATATGTTGTAAGTAAATTTCTTCCTTTACTCTGTGCTGTTCTGTATGACTTTGACTGAAAGCCATCTGAGTAAAGCTTGAATTAACTCATACCAAATAGGTTGTAATTTCTGAGTCAGTTTGTGGAATATAATTGAAGCTCATTGCTATCTTGCAGAAAGGCTTTCCACTAGATGCTACTCTTGATGATATCAAAGAATGGCTTGAAGATAAAGGTCCAGTTGAAAACATTCAGATGAGGAGAACATTGCAGAAAACATTTAAGGTAACTCTTGCAATGAAGATTTAGACCTGGGGCAGGGATCCTCCCTGGACAGCATTCTGTTCAATTACTCTAACATTCAATGTGTCTTGCAATTTAACAGGGCTCAATATTTGCAGTTTTTGATAGTGTTGAATCTGCTAAGAAGTTCACAGAGATACCAAATCAAAAGTACAAAGACACAGAGCTGATAGTACTTTTCAAGTAAGTCCTCTTAACTGATATATGAACTAATAATGGTAAAGGGTGGATTTAGGCAAGAGCCTGGCTTGACCTGAGAAGTGTAAGTTTCTAAACTGTTGTACAGGTATTGATAGCTGTACCTGTTGGAGACTAGCACCTCAACTCGGAAAAATCATTTCAATGGTTTCTTGTCTACTGCTGTCTTATAAAGTAATTATAACAGAATACCCTAAATTATATTAACTTAGCTTATATTCAATTGAAGGGAGGAGTACTGTACAAAGAAGAATGAAGAAAGGAAACAAAACAAAGTAGAAGCAAAAGCAAGAGCTAAGCAGTAAGTCATTATCAACTGAAGTGCCTGATTTTGCTTGCCTGACCACACCTGAACTGACTCATACCTAATTTAACTTTTCTGCAGGGAAAAAGAAGAGAAACAGAAACAAGCAGCAGATGCTGAAATGGTATGGGTTTCTTTTCTTAAATCTCTATACCTGGAAACTATGCAATGCTTGCTTTTGTATGTATTTTCAATCCATGCACAACATGGTCCTGTACCTACGTTTTGTAAAGCTAACATGGGATATTCTTTTTGAAATTCTATAACATAGAGCACTTTCTAGAAAATCACTTCAGCTTTTCCAACTAACCTACAGTAAGACTGTTTTGTCATGATGTTTAATCTTATTTTCAATAGATTTATTTTGTTTGAAGGCTCATGTCCTAAATTTGAATTATTAGGCTTGTTTACTGGTTCAGATGTGATCCTGAAAGCACCGTTGAGATGACTGTTCTCTTGTAATATTTAAAGGATTCATTAAGAATTTAATCAGTATTATATTTTTTCTACCTGAGGTATCAGCCTTCAGAAAGCTGTTTTGTAGAATTTAAAGAGTGTAACTCTCTTATGGAAAAGAAGTCCTAAGTTCCACATAAGTGTATCCTAGTAAGCAAAGAAAATTCAAAAAAGGAGGGGGGACACACTGTGCAAGACTTGGACATCAGTATAACTAAGTTATATAGCAAAAATGCTAGAGTTACTGTAACTTCAGTTGCTTATTTATCATCATATTTAATAGTCTTAGGATTGAGGAGGAAAATATGAATGTTCAAGCTTGACTCTTCAATGAAAATGTAGGATCTTTTTTATTTCATTTAGAAGTCACTGGAAGAAAAGACAGGATGTCTTCTGAAGTTTTCTGGTGATCTAGATGACCAAACATGCAGAGAAGACCTCCATGCTGTATTTTCTGGTCATGGAGAAATCAAGTGGATATACTTTGTCAGAGGTGCAAAGGAGGTCAGTAGACTCTTAGACAAGGACTTAAGATCTCTGTCTTGAACTTCAAAGATGAATGATTAAATGTTTGTTTTCTTATGTAATCAAGTAAACTATTGTCTTGTGAAATTTCAGAATATTTACAGAATTAAATTATTTCCTTGAATTCTTTCAAAAGAACAGATAAAGTTTCCAGCCTTGTTAGTTGATAAGGACAAAACAGAATGTTTGTTAGGACAGCCTAAGGGCTTTGGTTTAGTCTAGACATGTTTTATGTCATGCAAAAGTAATGAATTTGCTGAGGTACTTAACAGGGTATGTTGTTCATCATTCTAGCTGAATGTTTTTGCAGTAAGACTCAAATGCAGATGCCACTCTTCTTTTTAAGGGAATTATCCTGTTTAAAGATATTGCCAAAGATGCTCTGGAAAAAGCCAAAACAGCACATAACGGAAACTTACAGCTTCGGAACAAGGATGTTGCATGGGAAGTGCTAGAAGGAGATGCAGAGAAAGAAGCTCTGAAAAAAATATTGGAAGATCAGCAAGAATTACTAAAACAGAAAACAAAAGGTCCTCCCTTCTTTTATGAATTTAAGCCTGTATAATGTCCTAGAATTGGCACTCCAAGTAGTGAATATATACTACAGACTGACTTAACGGTAAAGTATTCCTTTGAGCTTGCCCATTAAAAGAAAATAATACAAAGTTCCTGATCTTGTATCTCCACAGGGCGCAAAATTAAAGGAAAAGGAAGAGGAGGAAAAATACCTCAGGGTGCACAAAAAGGAAAAGTACAGTTTCAGGGCAAGAAAATTAAGTTTGATAATGAAGAAGAAGGTGGTGAAGATGATACTAAAACAGGTATGTCATTCTGTGCACTGGATGCAGCTTCTTTAGTACATAGAGCTACTTTCTAGAGAAGTACTCATGTTTCTTACAAGTGTTTCAGATTTGTCTCTGCACTGTAGTATTTCTGCCCTCGTGTCAGTATCAGTGAAGTAACTTTAAGAGTCTTGTGCTTGATTCCTTCCAGAACTGTCCAAAAAGCATACTTAGATAATTACTAGATAGGTAAGGCTTTACTGCAGGGCTGTACAAAGCATTCTGCATTGAAAGATGGTGGTTATCAGCTACTTTACACAACTGTACAGACCCAGTCTCTCGAGTGTTGGGGTTTTTTTCCCTTGAGGATATGAGAAGACTAATAGTTCTGTCTACCAGAATTTAGCTTGGAGAAGATCAAGAGCTAAGCTTCTGTTCATTGTATATGGCACCTGCTTAACTAAAATCCAGTGAAACCTCCTGGTAGATTGTATTCCTTTGTTTTCTTACCTGCCTTCCTGCTATGGAGTTATACTGGGATTTTAGAACATCTAAAAGCTTTAAGTCACAGTAATAAGTAAACCCTCTAATGTAGAAGTGGCTGTAGATAACTAGGACTCGTCCTTGAACTTACATGGTAGGGTTTGTTTTTTTCAGATTTCAGGTAATGCTTTCCTTTACCCTAAATGACCACATATTCAATCTTGCAGAACCAGCAAGTCCCAAGAAGAGACCACTAGAGGAAACGGAAAAAGAAGAACCTGCACCAAAACAACTGAAAACAGAAAATGGAGGTGGCGATTAGTAATACTAAAATAAATAAAAATTTAAAAAAATTAGCGGTTTTATTGTTCCATTTTCAATAGGTTTTAAAGACATGCCTCAGTTCAGGAGTTTCTTGGCAGAAAATCTAATGAAATCCACTTCAACGTCAACCTACAAGTAGAGAAAAGCTTCATTTTGTTGGGTTACAGCTTTCTTTTGTTTAAGAAGCATGCTTACTCCTAACATACAATCCTGGAAAACTTTTATATTTATAGTTTTGTTTATACTGTCAAATCCTCTCGATTTTTCTGGCATTTCATTCAAATGTAAAAGGTTTTGGACTTTGTAATGTTGTGCTTTTGTTGAACAGCAGCTGGCAATAAATTCAGAACTTAAAACTGCTTACTACTAAAGTCTGGTTAATGTAGTATAACACTGTAAATCTCAAGTAGCAAAGATAAAGGACAGACTTCACTATTTTAAGTTCAAGTCACCAAGAGCATAGGTACAGCTGAATAAAGCTTCTAGTCTTTACTACTCAGCATACCTAACAGTCTTCAAATATTGCTCAGTCTCCTCTCTACTTCCTCTATGGTAATGGAGGGGATACACATCTTCCAGGCCAGCATTCAGTACCCAGGAACGTGCCTCTGGGCTTAGGCTTAACCTTCCATACTTGAGTGTCCTGACTAGATTTTTAATTGTTGGATGAAGTCCACTGCTTCCTTCTGCTCCCGCCAGGATGGCTGAGCGATTTCACTGGCTGTAGCTATTTGCAATACTGGCTCTAGAGAGCACAGAACACTGAAACAATGCTGCAGCTGTAACAGTTCTGGCCTTCAGCATTTAGTTCAGTCTAATTACTGGTTGCAGATAGGATCAAGCAAATGGCTATTAGGAGTGAATCAAGGAGGCTACCCTTAGCTTATCACCTCTAGTTCCAGTGTTGGCTTTAATCTTTGTGTATAGCTTTGACTGGCATAATGATTCCTTTCATTGTTCAGCTACAAAATGTAATAACAGTAATGGAACCTGATGCTCTCAGAGTGAAGTCTCAACTGCTGTGAGCATTCCTCATCCAGTACATATGGCCCTAAAACTTGAATTTTCATAAGGAGAATTTATTTACCGCAGTATTTGCTCAGTTACGTTAGGTTTTATACTTACTGATTTCTTCTTATGGAACTTGTATGATGCTGGTAGGTCAAATCTAAGTTCTGTGAACAGTACAAAGAATACTTGTTAGACTAGTATGATGATTGGTCACTTAAACCCTACATCCATATACTTCTGTTTCCAATGCCCACCTCTGTTGTGGCCTGTTGTGATCAGTTTGGATATCTGGACCAGACGATGACTGAACATTTAAGCTGTCCAGATCAGGCAGCTAAAGTGGATGGCTGAAATGCAGTTGTGTAGTTGTACTTCTGCAACTTCATGTCTTAAGTTCCATGACTGCATAAAGCCTCCAGCTAGTGGTATTTAAGAATAAGGAAGATATTTACACAACTGCCAAAAATATTTAGGTGACTAAGGACAGGATGCTTTTTTGTGTGAGAACTGACCTGTGCTTTGCTTTTGTTTTTTGGCAACTGTCTCCTTTTGAAGCAGGAAGGGAGGTAACCTATCCCGAAGACAAAATCTAGTCCAGGAAGAAGCCTATTTCTGCACAGAGTACGTATTCCTCAAAGCTTTATTAAGTGCCTGCTTGTATTCTACCCAGGTAGCAAGATATGAAAAAACAAAAAGTCTGCTTAAAAAGAAAAAAGACCTGTGTCATTTCAGTGTTAAATCACAAGTAAATTTACCTCAGGCTGTTATGACTGGCTAGTAGTGTTATAGGTATTACCCACAAACAAAAGGTTGGGGTGTTTTTTTCCGCTAACAACAAACTAATATTACCTGCTATGACTTCCATCTTCACTTCCCATTCATCTGCTTTCTTTTGAATGTGCTGGAATATTAAATAGATATAGGTAAATTTGAAGCTACAGACATCATCATTAAATGCCAGCTATCTTGTTGTCTTCTTGTCTGGTTAATGCTTGCCGTACTAAAATGAAGGACTTACCTGCCGTGTTGAAGTTTTGTGAAGAGAATATACAGCTGTTTTTGCCATTTGCAGAGCAGTTTTCAGAAAAATCATATCAATTCCTAAAAGAATGATGGAATTATTAGCGCCGTTAAATGGAAGCTTAAATATTTGCTTCATTTTTTTCTGGAATAATATCTATTTGAGAAACAGCACTGAATACATTAGGGTACAGAAAGAATTTCTAAATCTTTCCCAATTGCTTTTGATAAAAATGCTAGGGATATGAAATAGCTAGTATTGTTTATTTCAAATCCAGTGACTGTTAGCTACAATGTTGAAGTTGTTAATCTGTACTTAGGAAGCTGATTCCTGATCAACAAAATGCTAGGTAGCTAGAATAGCTAGCTAACAAAGGGAGATGTTTCATTAAAAGCATTTCCCTTGCTATTTTGTTTGTAATAATTTCTAACTGATTCTCAGAATTACCAACCTTTATTATGCTTGGTACCAAACGGAGGGTTCATAATAACTGTGTCAAAAGCATCTGACATGCTACCAGATAAAGAACAGATGTCACACTGAACCATGTTGACGTTCGTGAGCTCAAAGTCCTCAATATTGCTATTAAATATTTCCAGAGCATCTGCATCTATGTCAAATCCCACACAGAATCTATTAAAAAAAAAGTGTCACATATTAGTCTCCTACAAACTAAAGCTTTGAAAGGGATTCTTGTACACAACTTGTTTTATCTAGGAAATGTAACAAGCATACATTATAAATTCAGTGCTGATAAAAATTCAAATGGTTCTGTTGCCATTTCTCAAATATAACTCTAATTTTGTTAAGGAAGTTTCATGGGTTTATTTAGTGCTTCAAGGGAAAGCAAATATTAAATATTCAGAATTCATGACAACTGTCCACCACTTTCACAGTAGGAATGGTTATTGACTCTCAGAACTTATTTAATAGCCTGATTATGCACCAGATTATATACTTAAAATGAGTGTAGTTCAGCATTGCTATGTTTTAATCTTACTTTCTACTGTTCTATGCCAGAAAAAAACATAACCAGAACATAGCATTAAATACTTACCCTGCTCCTAACATTGCACTTCCAATGCTGAGCATGCCACAGCCACATCCTAAATCTGCAATTGTTTTGTTTTCAATATCATCAAAAGTATTGTGAATTGTATAAAGCATACATGCTGGGGAAAAAATCCAAACAACAAAGATCAATAATATCAAATATACACCTGTTGAATCAAGGAAAGCTACACCTGCCTTCAGAAAATACTTAACTAAAGGTTTCTTGTAATGCAAAATTAAGCTGATATTCTCACTGCCTGTAATTCTCTTTTTCATTTATATGTGAAGAGTCAAAAACATTCTGATGAGTTGTAGAACTCTGGGTCTTTGCTGGAGAGATTACACATAGAGCTTTGAGTATTGTTTGTGGAAAAAGTATGCCTCTATGTTTGTTTGAGGAAAAACAATAGAAGGATGTAAAATATTGAAAAAATCACAATTAAGGTATGAAGGAGTGTCTCTATATACACTTTTATTGGTTTTATGTGTCATGAAATAAGTCCAAGTCAGCTTTCGCAGTTACAGATTAAGATGCTTCTATCACATTATCTTTTAAATCAGTTTATTTGATTTTTGGCTTGTACACCAATATACTTCTAAATAATTACATTCCTGTTGGATACAATTTCTTAACTACTTTTAATGTAAGGTCTTCAAAGGAGATAATGCAGTAGAAAAAACTTTTTTAATTAAAAATGCTGATGAACTAGCAAAAGAGACAACAGTGCTGTGGGTCACCTCTACCTGCGATGTGAGGTCTTGTTGGATACTGTTCAAGGAGTAGTTTTGGACTGTCAAAAGTATCGACTTCTTGAAGACAGCTTTCCAGTTCTTTCAGCTTTAATTTCTTCATGTTTATGGTTTAGCTAGAGGAAATAGCGTATAATCAGTTACAATAATATAAATAAACTACATATTATCTTAAATTATTTTATACTTAATATCCCCCAGTATTCCGCAGCATCTCCCGGTTGTTTCCATGAAGCTGTTCCCGGGATGCAGCTGGCGGCGCACCGATGACGGGGAACGAGCGCCGGACCGCGGCAGCCCCGCTCCCCACCGGCCCCCGAGGTTCCGCATCTACCGCCAGCGCCCGCCTGTCACCCAACCCTAAGCAAGGCAGGGACTGAGCCCCAGCGACCGCCACCAACCACCCGGTCCGCCCGCCCCACAGGTCCCTGCCCGCGGCCGCCCTCTCTCACCGCCGGCCCGCACACGGCCCCGCCGCCCGCTCACCGCGGCCCCGCCGGGCCGGGCCGCGCAACTTCCGCCGCACCGCCCCCGGCCCGCCCCTTCCCAGGCTGACGGGCACCTGAAGGGATGAAACGCAGCGGAACTTCTCCCTCTGTTTAATTAACAAGTGGGTGAGCTCCAGTGTCGTGTATTGTAAACACGGGACGTTTTATTGCAACCTCACGTGTCATCGCTGCTCGGTGCCTGCCACAGCCCGGTCTGCCAGGTCTGTCCCCCGGCGGTCCCGCTGCTGAGCGCCCCAAGCAACGGGACTTCTGCCCGGGCGGTGGGAAGGGCGGTCGTTGAAAGAAGAGTAACAGATTTGCCTACTTTTCCCATTTTTTTCCCCTTCCTGCGATCCTGCTGGGAGACACGCTGCACGCACCACACTCCCTGCCCTTAAGGAACCGCAACACAACACAAACCGCCGGCAGACAGGCAGCCATAGGGAGCAGCGGAGAGCCAGAAGAGAGGCAGCTGCCTTGGGGCCCGTTGCTGTCGGATAGGAGGTTACTCTCCTTTAGGGACAGATTTTTCTTCTGAAGTTTTCCATTGCACAGTTGAAAATCTGTTTATCGAGATTTAAAACCGCCGATCGGTGTGTGAGGCACGGTAACTCGCGTTCTCTCCCGGTAGGAGCGCGCAGGCAGCCGCATGGGATACGGAGGCGCAGGTCTGCGGACACCCCGGGGTGCGGGGCTGCTGCCGGAGCCCGGCGCTGCTCTGCGCTCCCAGTGGGGCCGCCTGATGGCAGCGAGCGCGGAACGGCCGGCCCGAAGCCTCAGAGGTGCCTCCCGCAGCTCCCGCAGTGCCCCGGCCCGCAAAGCTGCCACCGCCTCAGCCCGGCGGTACCCTACGGCCCGGACACGGCGACGGCAGCGCGGGGTCTCACGGCACCCGCTCCGCGGGAGGCGCGGCTCGGTAACAAACGGGCTCCGCTGCCGTCGGGGCCACCGGCCGGGCCAGCTGCGCCCTCCGCGCTCTCCGGGGCTGCCGAGCCCCCCTGTCCGGACACGAAGTTCGGGGCCGGCGGGTAGCACACACCGCGCGTGGGCGGCGCGGGGCGCGCACCTGCGCGCTGGGAGGGCGGCAGGAGGGCAGGGGCGGGGGAAGAGGAGGGTGGTGTCAGGGGAGGGGAGAGGCGGTGTCGGGAGGAGGGCGCGGGCGGCAGGCAGGGCGCCGGTGCCGCGGCTATCGCGAGAGGGCGGCGCCGCGGGGCGGGGAGCGGAGCGAGGGCGGCGGGGGGAGCGCGGAGCCGGAGCCCGGCGCGGCCGTAACGGCCCCTCGGTGTCCCGTCATGGCGGGGGCCGGCGCCGGCAGCCGGGACAAGCGGGCGACGGCGGCGCGGCTGAAGGCGGCGCTGGGCGGCGAGGGGGGCGCGGCGGCGGCGGCGGAGCTGCGGGCGCTGCTGGAGCGGGTGCTGGCCCCGGCGGCGGGCCCGGGCGGCGGCGAGGCGGCGGGCGAGGCGCTGGAGTGGTGCCGCTGCCTACTGTCGGGCGGGGAGCCCTGGGACAGCTTCGTGCAAGCCGTGCGGGCCTACGACCCGGCCACGCTGTGCGGCCTGGTGTGGACCGCCAACTTCGTGGCCTACCGGTGCCGGACGTGCGGCATCTCGCCCTGCATGAGCCTGTGCGCCGAGTGCTTCCACCAGGGCGAGCACGCCGGGCACGACTACAACATGTTCCGGAGCCAGGCGGGGGGCGCCTGCGACTGCGGCGACAGCAACGTCATGCGGGAGGCCGGGTGAGCGCAGGGCGGCCGCGGCGGGGCGGGCGGGCACCTGCCGGCGGGGGCGGCCCCGCGCGCGGCGGAGCCGTGCCCGGAGCCGCCCTGCGGGAGGGCGGTAAGGGGGGCACCTGCTGCCTCCTGGGCCGCCTCTCGCCCTCCCTGGCTGCGGGTCGGACCACGGCGGGCCGAGCGGGGGGTCCGCCCCGCCTTCCCTCCCGCCGGCCCCGGCCGCGGTTCGGCGAGGTGGCCTTGTTGATGTGTGTGCGCCTTTTTTAGGACGCTCACGCGAATCTCGTTGCCCTTGCACCGAGTGTCTGCCTCCAGGAAAGTTGATAAGGCGGAGTGCATGGGAGGCAGTACCTGTCAGCTTCCAGCTAGCAGCCTTGGCCTAGCACGGCCAGCCGTGGAGTGTGTCAAAATACTTTGGGACATCATGTGAGCAGATAAGCCAAAGTGAACAGATTGAGTAACAGGGAGCCATTTTTGTCTGATTTCCCAGTCTACAGTTCATCTTGCCACCTTAGCTTTAAATCGAGAAATTTGGTAATGCTTGGTTGAGTACAACAAAGGCAGGATTTTGTGGAAGTCAGAGGTCTTTCTTTTTCTGTAAGCATGCAGACCTACTGGAGGCAAGACTGAAGTGCCTGGTTAGAAGAAGAGGAATGTGGTACCTCATTAAACCCTCCTTTGTTCGCTTTGTACTCAATGGTAAAAGGAAAGATCAGTCAACCAGTTACTGGGTGAAGGTGATACCTAGCCAGTTAACTTCAGATTTCACAACTGAGTGTCTTTTTGGAGCTCCCTGTGTTCCTGTTCATTCACCAGAGAGCTAAACACTTTACTAAATGACACTTTAGAGTGCTTGACTGAGGCCTCTCTTCTAACTAGCTTTCTAGAATAGTCTCTGTCTTGACTGTTTTAGCTGGAGTGAGATGGCATGCTCTTGAATCCTGAGTTGTAGCACACCTAGCAGAAAACTTTAGGAACATATAGAAATATTAAAACATTTTCCTTATTTATTTTCTTGTTCAGATTTACAGTGTATAATTCTGTGTCACTCAATCAGCACCTTAAGATTCCTTCTATTTTTGCATTTCTGCTTAGAGATTTCATTAATTCTTCTTTTTTTCTGTTCTTTGAATGTTGTTGTCTTGGCTTCAGTTCTTTGTATCTGTAGTCACCATTCTCCTGCTCTAGGCCTTGAGGTGACTTCGTTCTTTGTTTCTTCCCCTTTTTCTTCCTTAGACTGTCTGCCGTCATAATTTATTCATTCTTCCTTGTTGATGGAATCTTTTCGTACTGATAGACTTCCTCCAGTGGAAGAATTTTTTTCCTTCTTTTGTTTTCATTAATCTTTGGTGGTTTTGAGTGGCTACTGCTGAAATTATTCTTTCTTCGTGGGTTCTTTTTCAACTTCTGGTGATTCTGTTTTCCTCAATATCACTGAAGTAACAGTTCCCCTTGATCTTGAGAAGTAGGAAAAAAATTTAATGTCACTTCTTCCACTGTTCATTGTGGAATAGACTTAGGGCTCCTCTTAGTGGCAGGATTTTAATAGAGCACAGACAAATTGAACTACTTTAGGGTGAATATTAAAAATATCTTCTGATACTGCTTTCATCCTGGAGTTTATAGCTTTCAGAGTTGACTTTTCATATTTTAAACAGTTTTCTTCTTGAAGAAAGATCGTTTAATAAAGAAGAAATAAAAAATACTTAAATTTGCAGTGTAAACAGATGTAAACCCTGAGGGAGTACGGATATTCTCCTTGTTTCTATTTACCCTACTTATTACCTTTGATGGTAGAATTTGAGAGTAAATTGTGTTGTGTGTGAAGTAGCTCTCTTCAGGAGTTTTGATCATTAAAAATAAAGAATTGCATGGTATTTGTTCAGAAACAACAGTTGGCATTGAACAGTAGATTTTCCAGTTCTCATGGACATATAAGGAGGACAATACAGGACAGCATATGGGGTGTCTGCATTTAACATAAGGTCACTTCTGCTTATGATGATAAGAATTGATGTTATTGCAGTTAAGTGAACTAGAAACTTTGTTTGCTGTGCAAGACAAAGTAAATTAAGCTTAAACCAATGTAAAAACATTGTGTGCAAACACACTCGGAGTTTTACCTATTGACTTGAATTACTTTAATGCAGCATGTTTAGATAAGGTGATTTAACTTTGTGTATACAAATCAACTGCACAATTACGAAGGTAATGCTTTGTCTGTTAAAGTTGGGAGGCCTTCATGGTAGACTCAGGAAACTGGAGTGTGTCTAGCCCGATATAACCTTGGCCACTACAGCCTAGGCTTCTATTAATAGCAAGGGAATCAAATGTGGAGCCTACTTATGAACTTTATCTACCATCTGTCTGCTCAGATAAAATTTTGTGTAGATACTGTATACGAATATTATAGTAACATATTTTGTTTCTCTTGGTTCTTGTTATCTGGTTTCCATGTTCAGAGTTTATTTATTTGGTGCATCTCAAAAAACACTTCTGAAGAAGTCTTAGTTAACTGCTCTGCTACAAAGGAAATCTCTCCAGTTTAGAATCTGGAGTATCATCTCATTTCCTTTAGGGTGGCTAATGTAAATCGAGAGATGGTTTGGTCTGGAGTAGGAGGATGTGTGTTTTAATCTTGTCCTACTAATTAAATATATAATTTGCTTTTCGGAGATAACTGAGTGTTAGTTTTTTGTTTCTGATAATTTTATAAAAAGAGGCTGGAATATAGCATAATAGATGGATGTTGATTTGCTTTAGGTACCTTGTGTAATACTCATTTGACTTAGAAAAATCAGATTGTCACAGTTTTGAACCTTTTGATTTTCATGCAGATTTCAGTGTTTTTGATGATTAAGTTAATTGCAGTTGATCTGATCTACTAGAATGTAAAGTAGACATTAGAAAATATCCAAGTTTGTAAATGTGACTGCTTCTTAAAGTATTAAAAACTCTAACTGTGGCAAGGTTGAATAGATTTTAAGATCCATTGATGTGTCAGTAGGTGAAAATAGTTCGTAGTTGTCTGCCACATGGTATCTAGCTATTTGCAAATGAAATTTAGCAGCTCCTTCAGAGATAATTAATAATGTTCTGAAGAAGGCAAAATCTTCAGTTCTAAAACATTCATAGTAGACATATGTTCATAGTTCAAGTGAGTTCATATGTTGGAGAAAGAACTCCATGCAGTTGGACAGGGGAAAATTCAGACTGGAGTGGTTTTGGTTGGTAGATGGTCTTGTGTTATAATGAAACGTGACAGTTTATGAAATGAGCTTGAAGAAAGCGCTATTCCATATGGTTATAATAAGAGCATAACTAGTCAATAATCTGTCATTGATGAGTACCATCCTGTTTCTATGGCTGTCTTGTTCTGATTCCCCTTTAAGTCTGGAGACAATAACTTGATATACTAGAGAGCCTCCACACTTGGGCTATTGCATTCCCCCGTGTCCTGTTTCAGAGTATGCCTCGCTGTGTGTTGACTTATTTGTTAAATTAATCATGTGGGAAGCAGATGTTTTAGTGCTGCATTACAGTGCAACAAGAATAATATCTCCATCAAGGGTTGCATATCCTGAAGGCCAAAAAGCCAGGTTAAGAATTTCATTAACCAGGCTTTTGCATTGATGTTTGCTGTGTATTTCATGGTAGCTATGGCAACCAATGGCTCCATTGACACAGAGTGTTGCCTTCTCTTATGACTTATATCAAAGGCACTAAGGCATTATCAATTTCCCCTTGCAACAGTGGGCTGTTTCTTTATCAAGTGAAAAGTCCTATAGTTATAAGAAAGGTAATTGTTGTAGTTGGATGGTGTATGCCCTGTGTTCAAAAGCACCTTCATGTACCCAGCTCTAAACTTTCTGCAGTCCTGTCTCTAATGATCCCTACTTATCTTTCAGTTTAGCTCTGTGTCTTAAGGGTGTGAATCAGTGTAGGTTTCATGGAGATCTGTTGGAGCTACACACTAGATCAGACTTCTCTCTCTCATATTTTTTTTTTCTTCATTATGTCTCCCTTGAGGACTCGTGTATCTGTTGGGTCTACTGTAATCCCTTATGAAAAAGCTGGACAATTCTCTTTACCTCCTCTTGCTGCCAAAAATGAGAAGTATATTCTTAGTTTCTAGCCTGCTTGGTTTTTTTCTGCTTTAATTTATTTAGAATTGGCTCTGTTTTTTCAGTGCATTAAAATGTTTGCACCTAGCAAGTATTACTGAATAATTTTAGTTAAATTTAAATTCTGAATTGTAGATACCTAAATTAATGATCCTTTGCCACTCTGTCCCCATATAATTCTTTCCCTTCTTCTGACTTGATTCCTTATCCGTTTTCAGAGATACTTCATGGCCTTGGCCTTGCTGTGCTGCTTGGGAGCTATGGGAGGTTATATTCTATTTCTTTTACTTTCTGTTGCTAAGTAAGGGTAAAGGACCATTTTCATATTCTAGACTTGTGAAAACTTTAACAAATAGAGTGACGATAAATGCAAGCTTTTTGTTGAGAAAGCTATTATTACTAGTTATCTTTGGATGCATTCTGTGCATGTTCATCAGGAAAAGCCTCTTTTATCATCTTGAATTGTATCAGTGTGATCCACTTAAGATCAAAGAAGTTAGATCTGCTTGTGGCTGAGTTCAGGGACATCCAGGTAATTTTACTGGCATGAAGTGGATTATGTGGTTATTTTATGGAGTGTCTTGCAACAGTGAATCACCTGTTTAGCATACATATAGCATGCTGCTGCTTCAGCTTGTCCCTTCCAGTGTGACTCTATCAAATTGTGGTGTTTAGCACTAGACAGGAAGGTTTCAGTTCTCCGGGACCCAGGCCAGGTTTGGTATTGCAGCCGCCAAGAGGGAAGGGTGCTCTTTTGGAACTTTCTTCAAGAAGTTCCCAAAATAGTTGCTTTATCAACAGGCTGAGACCATACAGGTAGCCAAGGAGTTTAGCCTCTGAGCTTTATGAAACTACATAAAAATATCTGTGTTTGGAATTGTT